CTATGATAAGCCGGAAGTGCCGGGAATTGATTATAAAATAATAAAATCTATCTTAATACTCCTTTAACACAATTAATTAGTTAAATCATATGTCCCCCTCATTGGAATAAAATAATAAATGCCCGTTTCTCTATATCTTTCCTTTTTAGCCTTGTTTAAGTTAAATAATACGTGTTTAAGAGTGGATTACCGTGCCACAAAGTATTGATTAAATCAATTAAGTTTGTTTATTCCTTGTAATTAATTAGATGATTGCATGTAAGTTGTTAGCGGGCATGTTGTGTGTTCAGAAAAGTCTACCCTCCTTGTGGCATCTTAACTTCTTGGCGAAGAAAAATGATGTACAAGCCGGGTCGGTTTGGGTAGATGACTACCCTTTTAAAATTGGCCCTTGATTTTGATAATAAATCATGCTATGGCATTTTTAGATTTTTTTTTTGTCGGTTTGCTGGTTCGGCTAGAGGAGTTGGCCTTCATACTCCTGGGCAAATTAGACGAAGTAGATTGTTTTTCATATTCTGCATTGGGATTTTTTAGATTTTTTTCCAAAATTTTAAAAAATAATTAAATACTTTTATAATATAAAAATTGAAAATTAGATAAAATATTATATTTACATGAATAATAACATAAATATTCTTATTTTTAATAAAAAATATAAGTAATAATTATTAAATTTAGCAAATAACAGTGTTAAAGGAAATAAATGCCTCTTGATTCCCTTCTAACTGTAAAATCAGCTAATCATTAATTAGCTCAATTAGGTTTTCTGTAGCTTTATGTGTGCAGTATATGACTTATGAAGCTGGGTCTTGAGTCGAGTGGTCCAGTCTCTAAATTCTAAGGCCTATTTGATAGAGAGCCAAGCTTAGCTTCTAGGAGAGCCCATTAGTTGTTTTTTTGGGTGCGGGGGGGGGGGGGGGGGGGGGGGGTTGTGGTTGTTAGGTTGATTTTGAAGGCCGTTGTAAGATTTTAGCTAAGCCTTTTTTTCGTTGGGAGTTTTGACTTTGGGGCATGTCTGAACGGTTTTTTTTTTTTCCTTTCTCTAAAAGCCTTTTTTTTTTGTGGCATGTCTGAATGGTTCTTCTTTTTTAAAGCCTTTTTTTGGTTAAAAAAAAAACGTTTCTCTTTCAAAATAGATTGTTTGCGTAAGTTTTTGAGAAAAAGAAAAAGTAGAAAAAAAATTATTTTTGTAAGAAACTAGTTGAAATAACTTCTGAAAAATAGCTTATGGAGTAGGAGAAAGAGATTGGCGACATCTTTGATGCCACTAGCACCTCCACGTCTTCCTCCTCCTCCTCCTTGAGCGCCTCTCCATTGCTGTTGATGCCTCCGTGTCCTCCTCCTGCTCCTTTGTGATCTCCATGTTCAAATTATATCAGAACTCAAATCCCAGTTTGACCCAAACAAGACCTTAGAGATCGACTTCTTCGCCTTTGACAAGATATTCTCTCCAGTGATGTCTTGCTTTGCCCAATAGTTCACGAATTCTGCTTCTTCCCTATTCCCTCTCCTCCCGATTGAACTCACCATCGTTGATAGCAGATCTGTGCTTTTCACAATGGTCGATGGCCTCTTTTCTCATCCCTTTCCTCCTAATCAAACCTCATAGTCATAGATGGGTTTTGTGCTTCTCACGATTGTCGCATCTATGATTCTCACATCATTGCGATTGCACTTCTTGCACTTTCTTCTTCGCAACGTTCAACTATCAAATTGAAATCAACTACATTATCTTCTTGAAATCAAAATCTGCCAGGGAAGACCGGCTGGTCTGCTGCATCTAGAACCCACTAGAAATTCCAAAACCAGAGACTTTTTGCTTGGTCTAATATAAATTTTCAATTCTAGTTAAAATAAAAGAAATAAAAATGTAAATCTTTGACGCGAGGCTTAAAAGGGATGTCACGTGCCACATTCTTCTAAACTAGATTTAAATTCCAAGGACTCGGAGAATTCATGCGTCTAAAATTCAAACAGTGACAAAAAATAGAGAGGAATATTCAAATTCCACGTAAATAACAGAATTGTCTTCTATCAACTTATTTTTCAACATGGGACATCCCACAATAACTAATAGAAAACTAACATTGTTTCTCAATTTTTATCACTAAGAATTAAAAAAAAAAGATGAATTTTTAATAACTGAAAATACACATGTAATAGACCACGTAGTATTAATCAAATCTGAGTCTATTGAATTAAAATTCAGCAACATCTTCAGTTAATTTTCAATCCAAGTAATTCGGAACTTAATGTAATTTTTCAATTAGCCAAGGGGCATCGTCTAAATCCCCAACTATGTCACTTTACACGGGTAACAAGTGAAGCAAAAACATACACAGATTTACCAAGTCAGAACAAGTTTAGCTCGAAAAATTATGTCAATTCGAAGGCCATCTTGTCCTAAGCCAGAAAAGTGACTTTTAAAGTTCTCAGCTTTTAATTTTTAAACTTAAAAACTGAATAAATTTTTTTTTTATATTTGTTTTTAATAGACTCGGAATTTCAGCTTTGTTGCGCAATCAGTTTGATTTTATTGAATTGTTTGACTCAATTAGAAACTGAAAGTAGTCTAGAAATTTGATCTATATCAGGAGAACCCGTCAAATAATCTGCCAAGGACGACCATTCAGTCTGCACTTCTAGAGCCTAATAAGAAAAGTCGAAAACTGGTAACTTCTTGTCTTAATTACGTGGTTTAATGTTAAAATTTTCAAACACGGGATATGAAAAAAATGCCACGTATGCCGTTCTTCCAAAATCAATTTAGACTTGCAGGATTCTGTTGAACCTATGCAAACGTACCCATGAATCTGAATTCAAAAACTAAGAACCAAGTTGAATCCAATCTTCAAAGTCCATCCAAAGGACTTAGACCCAAAATGATAAAACTGTTTTCTTAATCCATAAAATTTGAAACTCGACTTGATTTGACAAAACAAATGCTCGTTTAACACGATCTGTTGGCATCCTGACAAGCCCAGATAGCATTCCTGTTGGAGAAGCTCCAGTGTTAATGAACACGAGTTTCACTAATTTGCTTAGATTTGCGTGGCACATGAAACTTCCAAGTGGACAAAAACAGAACCAGTTCATATATTCCAAATCTTCATTTCAAATTTCTAAAGCTATCAACTCCTCCATCCCCTTCTCACTGCACAATTAGATCAGGATTTGGGAACACTTGAACAAACAACTCTTCTCTTCTACAGTCTCATCCAGAAGAGCAGTTCTATTGGCTCCTCCTCGGAATAAATTATTCTTTCGTAAAAAACACTATCAGTGACAACTAACAACTTAGGATTAGTCTGAAGATGTCAAAACCTTTGCTCAAAGAAGTCTGGAAAGGAGGCAACTGGGATCTGATCATGAACTTCTAGGCATCCTACCAACGAAATGTTTCATCCAATTTAATAAAATTACAAAATATTTCCCCTCCCTTAAAATTCTCCCAGATAAATTGATCGTCTTCATCGCTCTAGGTATTAGGATGGCACTTAAGGACCCAATTTACTTAGCAAAGCAACATAACAATTTTATGAGCTTCACTTGGAGATGTAATTTTACGGCCATTTAGATCTGGAGTTGAGCTACTTGTTGCCCCCTAATACTGATGTTATGATCAAAAGGTGTCCTCCCTTGAGCATAGCCGCACAACTTGGAAACTCCTACTACTTACCAGTTTGATCTATGTTTACAGATAGTAACCTAATGGTCATAAGAGTATGCTCATTAGGGACAATCTCCAGTAACAGAAGTTCTGAGTTAAACATTATAATAGACTACTGCTTTCTGATTTAGACAGATCATGTATTCCAATCTTTCTGCACTGGATTATTTTGCCAAAATTCAATTTTCAGGGCCTCAAAATTTATCTTGACCAAGAAATTGAAGTATCCATCCAACAAAGGAAAGGATAATCTATCAAGAATAACAAAGGATGCACCTGGACTCTGATCATGAGGTTCCAGTCATTGCCCAAACTGATGTCTCTGATCCTAATTTAACAAGATACTTCCTTTTATTTGAAACTTCGCAAAATAAATTGCCCATCATCTCTCCAGGATATTGCAACACTTATGGCGCCAGTTTCCTAAGCAAAGACAGATTGGCTGGAATGGTTCTTGTCGTCAATTTCCTAAGCAGAGGCAAAATACCATTTTTTTTTAAATTTCTTTTGGGCTAATTTCATGGACAAATCACGGATTTTGATCATTATGCACGGATGTTGTGACCAATATTTCAATATTTTATAGCGTCAACATGGATCTTTACAAAGAAATCCAACTAAAAAGAGCAGATATACTGAGGATAAACAGAACTAATCCTATGCACAAATCCAAGCAACTAACTCAGGTTCTCTTTGGACCATGCATGCAGGATTCAACAACTGGAAATACCACTTCCTATCTTCCATAACAGTAGCTAGGTTGAAGTAGATGAATTCCAGCAGCAGAAATCTAGAATGAACTACAAAATCAAAAGAGTAAACAACACTATTTAAGAGATTGGAGATCAAGAAGGGGCATGTATACAGGTAATTGTGTATTGCGTTACCATAGATGAGCAGAGCATTTAGCATATATACTACATTTGATGGTTTTAGTGAAAGAAATACTTAATTCTACGAGTTAATTCAAGGTTTTATTTAATTTCCCCTACAAACTTCAGATATGAAATATCAATTAACATTTTGATTCATACAAATTTGAAGACTCTCAAACCATTTTCATGCATGAAAGAAATGACATACGATCTTTTTCATCATAAATGAAAGAGGCATCCATGAGTGGAAGCTAAGCCATTGCTCATCTGCTATGAAGCACAGACACTACATTTAGCTGAACTAATGGTCAAACCGACACTCCTTGTACACAAGGTGATTATTCTACTTTTTTTTTTTCATCTGATACGCTTCTAGCAGGTGATAACACACGAGTCTCCTGAGGGTTGTCATCTCCGTATCTCGAAGCACGATCCCTGTCTGTGTTCATGCTTCACAGCTCATCTGAATCGACCTCATCAGCGTTGCTTTTGGAAAGCAATATCAGAAGACAAAATGGATAGTAAACTATATAGCGCAACACCTGATTGTTTATGGAAGATGGAAGGAGGTGTAGAACCAACAACATCATTATAAAAATGATGGAGATTGAGCCCAGGACCAAGATAAGCCAAGCCATGCCAACAAGGTTGCTCACCATAACATAAACCCCCGCCATGAATGCTAGTGAAACCATCGTGAGGGATAGCCCCAACAAAGGCAATGCATAGTTCAATGAATTAACGGCCAAATTCAGATCATTCAGCTGCGCCCACACGAGTATAAGGGTGGCGATAATGGAGCTATAAAGGGCTATGGTGTCGCTTATCAAGAATACCTGGAATGCAGCCTTTCTAAGTAGAACTGCAGTGCCCATGCGATGAGAGCCCGTGTCATGTAACCCACCTGGCAAAGCGACACCAGAAGCGAAGGTGACCGTAGTTACAAGCGTTGCCATCAGCAGCAACGTGTTTACCCTCTCCAACGGAACCTTATTACAATATGGGCACCTAGGAGTAATCCTGGAATGCCCTCGTGGTGCATTGGCTTGTTTCAGTGCCATCCATGTTAACCGCTGCAACAGAAATTTAAGAGTCTCTCAATTCTCAACCTATTATCATCAAGAATATAGTAAAAGATGTTGGAGAAACAGTTTCAAAATAATGGAGTTGGGAACTAGTTGAATCTGATTTTCAATTTCCACCAATGATCTCTGTGAGTTTTGCAGTTGAATGAATAATGAAGATTCCCTATAATGTGAAGAGACTATGAAGGTGTATAGCAAAGGAGGCTCGTTAAAGGTTACTGGATCAACTTCTTAATTGCAAAACTCGTCCAAGCAAATGGCGGAATATGTCCAACACACAGATCGGACATACGGATAAGGTAATTTTGAAAAAATTAGGATCCTTGTATGAAAGGGATAGCGTTAAAAAATTTAAAATTTTATTTTTTTTATTACATTTATATGTAAAGCATTTTTAAAGTTACTATAAAGATATAAATATATAATAATCAAACTGATTTATTTATATTTAAACACCAAAGGACATGAACCAACAACTAATATCCATTTATAACAATTATTATGTTCCTTATTTCCTAATTACATGTGACATATATGTCTATTTTCAAATTATTTTCCAAAATATCTATTTTGGGTGAGAAGTATGTCAAAGTATATGTCTAAAATGAAAATAATAAAATTAAAAATTAGATTATTTTTGTGACAGTAATCTCCTAATTCAGCAAATACATTTTTATTTGGTGTTACCTGTCAGTATACATAAACAAACAGAAAATAATTATAGTTAGAGATATAAAGATAGAGAAGAGAAACAAAAACATATAACAAAGGTTATTTATAGACACCTAAATATAAAATTAGAATAAACTTTGTTATGTAGTTATACAAACTTCTAATGTCTAAAAATAATATTTGAATACATTTATTTTAATCCTGTCTATAACAATATAAGGTAGGTATTAGATATGAAATTATGTACATAAGTCAAGACATAGCAGTGCCATATCATGGGTCAATACTAATAAATCTGTCAGACATATTTAGATCTAAAAATGGCATCAAAACTTTGCAAAGATGAAAAGATTGTAAAAGACATAGCTCTATATAGGATTTTTTTTTTGGGTAGAAAGGCATTATGTAAGGATATTTAATCAATGGTATAACTGCCAAACCAAATTGTATACCTCAAATGGTTTGTGATTGAAAACATTATCTTTTGCGATTTATGACTTAAAACATTATTATGTCAGTGTGCATGTTAACAAATGTATATCTATATATGTGTGTATGAGAACCATATATTTTACCCCTTATAGGGTTCTACAATGTAGATTCTAAAAAATAAAAAGACACCCAAGTTGAATATTTGAACAAATAATTATTGTTGGTCATAAAAGCTGTTTTATTTTTTAATATTTATGGAATCTAAATAAGACAATATGTATGGTTTAGATCGTACCAAACGGCCAAACTATTGTTTGATTTGGTTAAGAGGCCAAATGCAATTTAATGATTTATTTCAAAATGACCCTCAAACAAACAATACCAGACTGCAGTGCAGAATCCCTGCAAATAACCTTATATTTTTCCTTTTTATTACCTTACTTTCCATCGAAGAAAACTTAAATTCCCAGGTTGCCCTTCCAAAAAAAAAAATTGTTGACTGTGGATGTGATTAGTTGATGGCTAACACAATGCATATACCTGTCGAAATGAGGGCCACTCCTCGCCATAGAGATGTAAAGCATCTAAAGCGGTGTGACCGTCGTCGTTCTTCACCCCAGGCTGACCCTCTTGTCCATGTCAGAATGCTAACTACCCTGGGATGATGATTCAGTGCAGCCAAGTGTAATGGGGTGTTTCCCTTTATATCTCTTTCATTGATAAGCGTCTGAAGATCGGGTTTTTGAAGAATATGACTAACAACATTAGTTTGCCCCGACTTTGCAGCCACGTGAAGGACGTTCTGGTCCCAGCCATTAAGTATGTCCATCGAATCAGGAAAGCGTTCCAGAATCTCTTGGATGACTCCAACGTGGCCTTTCTTGGCTGCCCAGTGAATTGGACAAGACCCGCCGATCTTGTCTCTTTTGTATGCTTCTTGGTCGAAGTTGTCCAGTATGTGGCGAACCCCTTCAAGATAACCAATGGATGCTGCATACGAAAGAAGTGTCCTCCCGTTCGAGTCAGGTGTGCTCAAGAGAGCTTGCTTAAGATTCAATGCAATTCGAAGGACGCCTGCGAATTTTGAAGAAAGAAGAAAAAAGAAGTGAACTACCCCTGCTATCATTTATCAATTTAATTACCGTATATGGTTGGATGATTGCTGGGATTTGCCTCCCAAGCGGAGGAAACAACATTTCGAGGACTGAACCGAAAATCCCAAGAGTAATTAGAGAGAGACAATTGAAAAGTACAGGATTCCAACCGAAGAAATTGGAAGTTCTTGGAGCAGTTTCATAATTTAGCAGGGTTTGGGTTCCAAAGTGGAAAGAGGCAGAAAACAGAGAGATTAAAGTAGTGTTTGCAAATATTTTTATAAAATCAAAAGTGAGGGTTTTAAACAAAAATAAGTAGAAGTAGATTTTAATTAAAAATGAAGTATGTTTACAAATTATGTTAAAAAAAATCTTGAAATCAGTAAAAATACATTTAAATGATAATTTTTATAAAAGAATGATTAAAAATCTTTTAAAATAAAGTATTTTGCCCTTATATTTTTAAAAGAATTCTTGGAAAACTCTCTCTTCTCCCTCGTTTTTTTTTCTATTTCTCTCTTCTCTTTCTTTTCTTTTTAACAATTTTCTTTCTCTTGATTTTTCTGCGCACACAACTAGCTCTTCCTCATCGATCTCATCTTCTAGATCGGACCACCACCGAATGCGCAAGCTACGGCCCGCCAAGACGGTCAAGCCAGGACCAGCCTGCGCATCCCCAACTGTCGTGGCCTGCGCTGGGAACCACTACCCTGCCCTGCGCTGAAGACCACTGCTCCTCCCTAAGCTGGGGACCACTACTCTACCCACCTCCATCTCTTTCCTTCCCTCCAGTCACTGTCGCTCCGCCCTTATGCCAATGCATTTCATTCTCTTCTCCCCAGTATCCAACTAAAGAAAAAGGTACTACATGAATTAACAAGAATTATGAGGCCAAAAATTTTAAAAATCACCAGGGCCTCCCTTCCCTCCGATTACCATTGCTCTGCCCTGTACCACTGCGTTTGACTCTCTTTTCACTATTACTCAACTGAAGAAAAAGGCACTGCAGTAATTAACAAAAAAATTATGGAGGCAGAAATGTCAAAAATACTTTTAAATAGTTTTTCATTAATTACAAAATTTCCATGAATTTTAAAATAATACTATCTTTTGATTTTTATAAAATAAGAACGGAGTAGAATAAAATCAAAATTCTTATAAATATATTTGGAACACACTGATAGAATGAGAATTTCTATTTTATTATTATGCTAGTATGTTGAAATAGAGATAAAAAATTAAATAAAAAAATGTTCAAAAACAAAAATACTATTTGTTATAAAGATTTAAAAATTAAAAAAATAACTTTCAATATATTTTGAATGTATTAAAAAAATTAATTTTTTTTTTATTTTAACGTTAAAATATTAAATTTATATATATATAATAAATTATATATATATATTATTTAAATATAATTTATGATATAATATATCACATTATACAATTTTATTTTATTACACTATATATAATACATAATTATATTATACAATTTATTATAGTATAATATAATATATTAATATATAATATTATAAATATTTATAATTTTTTATATTCATGTAATATTTTTGTTATTTTATTTAAAAAGTAAAAGTAATATAATAATTAATACTTAAATAAGGATTTTATCAATTTAGTAAAAGAATCCGAATTCCTTAATTAATTTTAGAGAATACACAATTAAAAAAATGAAAATTTTCATTCTAAAATATTTATTAAATATATTTTTTTAATATTCTCATTTTTATCCATCCATAAAATTCCAACGTATATGACCATACTTCTTATCCTCTTGATTGGAAAAAGACTAAAGCTAAAAATAGCCATCCAACACTTTGAATCACTTTTTAATAATTAAAAAGCATAGTTACTTTTCAAAATCTCTCGCAAACACCCCCCCCCCCCCCCCTAAATGATATTGTGAGACGGCTAATGCTCATCTTATTGATCAGAAACCCTACTCCAGACAAAAGCTTTAACATATGAATTCTAGTCCTAGTTGGAATCCTAATTCAAATTGGGGTCGGATTAATGATCCCCGTTGTTCGTGCTTCCAATCGAGGAGTGAGATAAGATGAGAGAGAAAACAGTCTCTGGCCACTGATGGTTGCTACCCCCATTCGCCTATGCAGTCGATGATTGGAGCCGGCTAAAGTTGCAGTAAGAGTCTGAACGAAGGTGAGTCGCTGCTATCGGCATTTGTCAGAAAGTAGGAATAATGACCGCCGGGTTTCCTCTTCTCCTCATCCTACTACACGCTGTGGTAAATCATTGTTGATAAACAGAGGATAGAGATAGAGACCACAAACGGCAAAGCTGTAGTGACAAAATAGAAGAGCAACAGACAAAGGAGGCGAAGTAGTGGTAGAACAGAATCGCCGCTACTGTGAATCAGAAGTACAGAAACAGGAAAAGCAGCGGAAACCAAGAACTAAACAAAGTCAAAAACAGCCAAAAGAAATAGTAAAGTGCAGAAACGAGGAAGATGTTTCGGAGCTCGAAAAATAGAAGCACAAACACAGCCTTAGAATAGAGAACAGACACAGATAGAAGTTCCTAGGTACTTTGGGCCTGACACTGGGTTTCAGATTTGGGCACTAGCTTTGAGCGGATCTTTGAATGCTGGTTCTAGATTTAGCGTTGGGTCGATTGGTTTTGAATTGGATGGACTTGTTAGGTTTTCTTACTTGGGTTTAGGTTCGGGCTAGGTCTGGTTTGCTTAAAGGTCTAGTTGGGTCCATCACTACCGGTTCAAGTTGAACTAGTGAGTTGTTTTCTATTTTTGTTTTGATTTGCTTGCTGGTTTGAATTCTAGTTGTATCATCCTTGATTTTAATGGCGCCCCTGACAGGTGTTCGAAGTCTTGTTTATCATTTTTCCAAGTTAAAGTTCAACTTAAGATAGTGTTTGCATTACTTTCTTAGAAGCTCTGTTGCACTTTTCCACGTAAGAAAGTGAACTTTTGGGTGCTTTTTCCCTACCTTCGCCTTGTGCTTCTACTTTTTTGAGGTGAAAAAAAATCTGAACTTGAAGTTATTTGGTGAAGTTAGGGGAGGTGCTCTTAGTTGTGTGTGGCAGTTTTGTAATAAATAAAAACTAGTTTAAGTAAATTGACTCTCTTGTCATCATATTTCTTTTTGTAATTCTTGGATTACCCCAAATCAAAACCTATGTATCTTTCGTCTGCTCCTCCTGTTCTCCCTCTCAGCTGGCTCCTCTTTGCCTACTTCAAACAAAAGCGGGCAAGATGCCAGTTGGGCAACTAGAAGATATGGGATGATCACCCAAATTCATCCTCCCCAGTCTTCAATCCTATCTATGCAAATTAATCAATCAGTTTAAAATCCAAATTCACCTTCTTCGCTTCCCTTTCAAACTTAGCAATCTTGCCCCCAATCTTGTGGTAGAGCTGGCCTAACATGAAAAAAAACGACTATCCCACTGACGACGAGGTAGTTCCTCGCAGGAATTGGCCTTATGCGGCAAACAACCCCAACCCTTTTCTCCCCGGTAGCCGCTAGTGAATCCGATCTTTTCACCTGTCTCCTTACCATCCAATCCTAGTCTTCTCACCCACTTCCTTACCTCCAATCCTCCTTGCCCTTTCTCTATCCTTATCTTCTTCGATGCGCTCCACCTCCACTCCCAGCCCCAACTCCAACTCAAGTAGCTCTTCTCCGAGTTTGCCTCTTCTTCTCCTCCTTCCTCTACATCAACAAAAGCCACAAAACTCCTCTATGGTTATTTTATAAAAACTTATATCTTAAATATTATTATATGGTTTTTGAAAAATTTTATACCTATATTGTAAACACCTCAGTATTAATTATAATTAATTTTTACCAATTTTTACTTAAAATACTTATTTTTAATTTTTCAAAATTTACTAACACCATCTAAGAATCAGCCTTAGCAGGCCTGTTCATGGTTCTAGTCTAGACAATGAACAGGCCAGGATTGGACCTTAAAAAAATGGATTAAACTAGATCGTTAATTTCTAATTTAGTCCAATTTTAAACCATAAGGTTTCATAATTCGATTAAAGTTCATTTTTTTTGAACTTGAATCAGAATCAGAATCATTCAAGAACCGATGAATTGGAATTAGATATAACCATGTAAATTGAATTAGATTTGAAACATGAACCACAACCATGAATGAATCACGAACCAAAATCGTGAGTGAATCATTAAGATTAAATCATGAACTGGACCATGGGTGAATCGTAAAAAAATTATTTTTTCTTTTGTTAGATATAGAAAAAGGATTTTTACATACTTTTTAGGTATGAATTTGTACAATTTATTTTTTAAATATAAAAGAAAAACTTATTTTTAGATATAAATATATTTTAGACATATTAATTAATAAAAATTATAAAATTCAAATTTGGAGATTGCAAAAATTAGCAAAAATTATAAAATTCATATTTGGAGGATTAAGAACAACAATTGGAATCAGAGATAGCAAAAATAAAAATAAAAGATAAAATAGTACACTAATTAAAGTAAGAGAACTACATGAATTTTACTTCCTCTAAATCCCAAGAGTATATGTAAGTAGTTTAATTGATGCATAATTAAGTTTAAATACTTAATTATTATTATTATTATTTTTCTGTGTTTACTATTTGAAAGATATTTATAAAATTAAATATTTATAATATTTGAAAAATATTTTAATAATCTAAAAACATTTATAAGTTAATATCTAAATTTTTTTGGTAAAATTGAATCGAAACTAAAGTAAATTGCAGACAAACTAAGAACAAACAAAATCGGAATTGAAATTATAAATCAGTCCAGATCAGAACTGTGAACTAGCCTAGGCTAAAACTGGAATTGAAACCATGAATCAGATCGAAACTGTAAAAAATTGAAATTAGAACTGAACTGACCTTTAAGATTCTGATCTCAATTTATATTTTTGAAGATCGAAACTGACAGTTCGAATTCAGTCCAAGTTGGTTCATGAATCGTAAACAAGTCTAACCCATAATAGGCAGCAACTACTTTGGTTGCAAGTTGTTGGTTGATATAACCAAATCTTTTGTATTTTTCTAATAAGATGTTGTAAAAGAAATTAAATTCTTTTGAATATATATATATATATATATATCTTATTGAACAAAAATAGTGATATTATTCCTCCGTTAATCAAAAATTTTAATTTTTTGAAAGTATTATGATTATCTAATAAAAAGACTTTCAATTTTTTCAAACAAATGATTTGAAAGATCTACTAATTCTAACAAATGATTACAAAGCACATTATTTAGAGCTTTCAAATTATAGACGTAGATCTTAGAATTATGAATCGGAATATTCCTGACCCCCGCAAAAAAAAAAAAGAAGTAAGTTAGATAAAAAGAAAATAAGTTTGAACAAAAAAGAAATTATATATATATATATTAAGAAATAGAACTTATTTCCTAAAAAAATACATTAAAAATTTTGTAATTTAGCATAGTTACAATAAAAAAATGGTGCAATAAATTTTTTAATTTTCTTTAATAAACAAACGAAAATAAATATTAGAAAAAGTCAGATTTTACTAAATTAATTTATCAGACATACAAAATAAAAAAACTATTATATAATATTTTACTTCATTTTTCAACAAAAGAAAAAAAAAATTAAAGGCTGCAGCCAAACCTGTTCATTACCTATGTTTCGTGATTTGATGGCAGCATGGAGAATTGGCTTTCGATTCCTCACCGGGCGCTTCCTTGTTGAAGGATTGGAAACAGCGAACCGCATCATATCCTCAAAGAGGTTCTCATACCCGCTTCTGCAGCCATATACAGAGGAGATTCTCCGTCCC